CTGTGGTGATGGTAGCCCAGGCCCCCAGTTTGGGCCCTCCTCCCCTTTGCTCTGTGAGTTGACGGGTCTTGCCCACACATTTTTCCCAGTACTGTATGACCTGAAAGGACAACAACTGCCCCAGCCCTGGCTCAAGTGTCCTTTGTCTCCTGCTGGGCAAGCTGGTCTTCCCAGCCAAATGCTCCCTTGAAGTACTCTGCAGCCCAGGAGCTCCACAAGCCTCAGACACAGGTGTTTCCACAACTTCAAGTTGCCTAACATCCATCCTATTTCACAGAGGTGTTGAAGCATACCTGCAGTATACATTCTCCTTTGCTGCTGTCACGTTACATTGCCTTTTCCTTTTTCAATGTGAAAAAAGTGACGTTAATTCCCAGATAATTAACTGGGAATCAGGAAACCTTGGTTCTACTGGTGGCTTGTTTAGTAGGTAAGCAGTGTGACTGTAGACAAGTTGATTAGATTCTTTATTTTTATTTTAGGCAACTAAAGACACAAAGACTTTAAACTGACTCTAATCTTAATGCCCTTTTTAGTTGGAACATTTCATTCCATGTAGGTATCAATGCTTCAACAATCATGTTGCATGTCTAAGACATAATAGAATGTTTTGAGTTTCACTTTTGAAAATTCTGTCCTTAATAACATTAAGTAAATTTCAGTTTACCAGTATTAAATTTAATGGATAATTTCTTATATGCCCACCAGAAATAGGGGGAAAATGGAGTAGAAAAGAATTGCAAAGATAGTTCAGGAAATTAGTAAAATACATCTTGAATAATCATTAATATTGACTTTGAAAATATTCTCAGTTTGTGTAACTCTTTCCCTGATATCTAATAGGTTTTGATAAAGCAACCTTTCCAATCTCAATTGAGAACATAGCTTACTGTTAGTTTTTTGGTTTTTATAAAAATCATTTTATTAGGGGCTCATACAACTCTTATCACAATCCATACACACATCAATTGTGTAAAGCGCATTTGTACATTCATTGCCCTCATCATTCTCAAAACATTTCCTCTCCACTTAAACCCCCAACATTAAGTCCTAATTTTACCCCTCCCTCCCTGTTCCCTCCTTCCTCATGAGCCCTTGATAGTTTATAAATTGGTATTTTGTCATATCTTGCCCTGTCCGACGTCTCCCTTCACCCACTTTTCTGTTGTTCATCCCCCAGGGAGGAGGTCACATATAGTTCCTTGTAATCGGTTCCCTCTTTCCTACCCACTCTCCTTCTGCCCTCCCTGTTTCGCCACTGACACCACTGGTCCTGTAGGGCTCATCCGCCTTGGATTCCCTGTATTTCCAGTTCCTATCTGTACCAGTGTACATCCGCTGGTCTAGCCAGACTTGCAAGGTCGAATTCAAGTCATGGTAGTGGGAGCTGGGAGGAAACGCTTAGGAACTAGAGGAAAGTTGTATTTTTCATCGTTGTTACATTGCACCCTGACTGGCTCGCCTCCTCCCTGAGACCCCTCTGCAAGGGGATCTCCAGTGGCCTACTAATGGGCTTTGGGTCTCCACTCTGCACTCCCCCCATCATTCACTATGATAAGATTTTTTGTTCTGATGATGCCTTATACCCGATCCCTTCGACACCTCGTGGTTGCATAGGCTGGTGTGCTTCTTCCATGTGGGCTTTGTTGCTTCTGAGCTTGATGGCCGCTTGATTACCTTCAAGCCTTTAAGACCCCAGACACCATTAGCTGTCTTCGCCACATTTGCTTATGCACCCATTCGTCTTCAGTGATCCGTTCGACACTACTGTTAGTTTTGCTATGTAAAAAGATTAAGGATCCTTACACTTCCAGAGAAAGGTGACCCAACAGAATGCAGAAATGATCACTTCCAGAGAAAGGTGACCCAACAGAATGCAGAAATGATCAAACATCATTCTATCACATGAAAGTTAAATTTTGCTCAAAATATTTTAAAAATACTTGCAGCAGCTGCACCCTTGGACTGAAAACTGGGGTACATGGATGGGCGAGGAAGCAGAGCGGCTGACACAGGACTATGGAAGTGGCATGGTCATTGGGGGGAATCCCGGGCTTGGTAGGTGTCCAATGGAAAGGGACCCAGAATCACCATATATTTAGTGCCTTGATGCCCTCCTCACAGTGATATGATAGGTTTCAATCTGCTGGGTAGGGATCAGAACTCGGAAGAATTAATCCAGGAAGGTTCCTCCTGGCACCGACCCCCATAGTTAGAGTAAACAGAGCACAATTGAGTGGGAGATTGAACTGTGTAGGGC